ATCCTCGTCGAATATACCTCCATAGACTCACCCCGTGAGACCCACGACCCTTACCCGAACTCCATCCCCCCTCCATCACGCCATACTTCGCTCCAATAATATCTCTCCAGAAACTCTCCATCTCCACACCAAACCGCCACAGCCATTTGTCTAATAATGCTTTATTATACAAAGTAAGTCTCCTCAATCCGAGACCCCCCATCCTCATATGAGAGCAGACAACTCCCCACTTAACCAAAATACATACTAAATATAACTGATGGTAAGTTTGATATCCGTCAACTATAACATTTATGCAACAGGGATATCTGACATTCCTATAGCATTTCTTCGTTTCACCCTACACACCTCCTCAATATTGCCATGCTTCCATTTTCTACATGTTCTCAGAACAGAGCAAGAGGCCAGCTGTATACCTCAATTCCATTAATTTTAGAAGTGATTTGTATGCAATATGCTACTGGGTTAATGAAATAAAGGTATAGCGCCTTCAGTTATTGCTATCATCTAAAGAGACAAGAGTCCAAGCTCCAAAGGCTTGTCAACAAAAGAAATGGCAGTGATGTTAATGAATATCATTCTGAAGACATCATCATCCACCTTTACAAGGAGATTGGAAACTGGACATGGTATCTGCTAATATATCCACCTACTCTGTTATTCTATCAATCGAAGATGCACGCCAGTTACTAGAACTCTAGAAAGATACATCATACATGCAAATACAACCAAAGTCAAGAGATAAAAAATAATCTTCCTAAAAATGAAAGAAGTCCATCCAGCACCCATCCAACTTATTAAATGTAAAAATGAACTTGACTCTTGATTATTGCAGCTCAATCTCATTTGATTGGGTACATCACTGTGGAGAGAACCATTCAGTTTCTCGTGCTCAATTCAGGCATCTTACGCAATTGCGACACAAGTCATACAAAAAAAGGTCCGTAAATTCATCAAGATAATTTTTTTTCGTAAACATCAACTAGATTATTTTATCCTAACGATGTTCTTCTCTCTAATATATCTCAAAATTAAAAAAGGATATTATCATAGCCATGTAACTCGATACAATCCCTTAAGAGGGAAATTGAAAATCGCCCAATGCAAAAAATAATAATTGCACACAGAATCTCCAAAAAGAACTGAATTTCAAGTTAAACAAGAAATAATACTCTAAGCTCCAAAGGCATGTGAGTGAAAGAAATTAATGAATATCATTCTACATCCACCTGTACAAGGAGATTGAAACCTAGACGTGGTATCTCCTAATATTCCACCTACTCTGTTATTCTATCAACCGAAGATGCAAGGCAATTACTAGTAGTCCAGAAAGATACATAATATTAGCGGAGCCACCTGGGTTCTAGTGAGGCAACTGCACCCACTGGATTTTGGCCCTGGGTATTTCACCAATTACACTTAAGGGCGGCCAGTTTTTAAGGCAAGGAGAAAATCATAAACAACCGCATCAACAATTGGAGAAAAATGTTGTCAAAAAAATCGTTGTTGCTACAGGTGGAAGATTACCATCAAGAAACCAAAAATTTGGGAAAACAAATAGATTATAAGGAGTTGAGTTGAAATTAAATCATTAAAATCGGAGAGTGAGATTTCAACATATAAAACCCTTTTCTACACTAATAAAATCTGATACTACCTTCCAATTTTGTCGATGAAGAACCTGGGTAGAAATCACTGCACCACAAGATAACTAGGCGCCAATTGATGAATATCACCCTTTTTGACTCTCCCCCAATTTTTATCGCAATACCGAGGAAGAAAATCTTTGGTCTATGAAAAAGAATAACATAGGCATATTACGAATGCTTATATATGTCTGTGCTTTTTAATTGGACTTACGAGGTTTTTTTCCCACTAATCAATTTTTTTTCGTATGGACCTCATAAGTAATTGTTAGAATTGAGTTATGATCCTATTGTTGATTATTTGATTGAAAATATTATTGAAAAAAGTATTGGGAGTTGATTGTAGACTTGAAAATTCTTGAAGGAGTCAAAGTGATTCATCCCAAATTCTCAATTATTGATTTTACTTATTATATTGAGACTTCACTTTATATTAAACTTTTCATGTATTAATGTTCGTAATATGTTACCGATTTTTGGTTATATATATAGTGTACAACAAATATTAGAATTTATCAATTGTTCAATTAATTGTTAGTTCAAAGAGATTCTTTACAACTCCTTACTATTGATTGTAATGAATTCTTCGCATCTTCATGTAGTTTTTTTGGATTCAGGTTTTCAAGTAAATTTTGTTTTCTTTGTTATTCATTATTTTCATATTACTTAATTATTTAACTAGATTTGCAACAAAGTGGTATCAGAGCTGTATGTTTTTTTTTTTTTCCAGCTCTTGGAAGGTCCAAATTGATTATTAAAGCGGGGTTTGAATAATGTCGATTGTTTTTTGGGATGGCAACAATGAAATTTGAGATTCCGCTTTAAATCGCAATAGTAGATTCTCTTTGTGGCAGATTATGATGCTAGTTGTTTTTGCGTGATTGGATCTTGATGATGCTTTGTTGGGGGTGGATAGAATCCCCTTGACAATGACTGCGGAGGAAAAGTAATGCAAGGATCGGAAAGCTCTATCACATATACATCTTCATCTTTCTAATCAAATTCTTCAGGACGTGATAAAGGAGAAACGTTGCTGGGTTGTGGTTAAAATTAGAGCAGTTTTGTATGACAAAGAGCTTGACAAATAAGTTACACTTGAGACATTGTTTGTATTCTCATCGCTTGACGGAAGGTGGATTTTTGGAATATTATCTATCGGTGTTCAAGGAAATCGTCGCTAATTTGGAAATCATGGGAGTCAAATATGATGAAGAGAATTTAGGGTTGATATTGTTATGTTCATTATCGCATTCATATATGACTTATAGAGATATCATTCTCTATAATCGGAATACTATTACTACTGACAAGGTATATGATACACTTTATTCTAAAGAGAAGATGAAACATCTTGTCGTCAGTTCCAAGCGCCAAGCAGAGGGTCTTGTTATTCATGAAAGGAAGACAAGTGGTCATGGAAATGGCCGAGTCAAGGGTAGCAATGATAATATAGTCTGTTGGTATAGTAACAACAAATGACACATGAAGATGGATTGCTATGAGTGGCGGAATAGGTTTGCTCCTACATATAAGTAGGAACAACTAGACAATTCTAGTAATGTCAATCTAGCAGAAGAAGACAGTAATGGAGATTTTTTGACAATTACTGAAGGTGACTCCAAACATGACGATGATTGGATTCAACTAAGCCGAACGTGTAAAGTATAGTGTTCAAACCAGGATAGATTTTCTTCACATGAAACAGTTACAAGGGGGTTCCATGATGATGGGGAATAACAAGCTTTGTAAAATAGTTGGGATTGGTAATGTCAAAATCAAGATATTTGATGGGACGATTAGAGCACTTGGTCAGGTTTGACATGCTCCAGGTATGAACAGGAATTTAATCTCTTTGAGTACTTTTGATTCAAAAATGAACTATTATACCGATGGAGGTGGAGTTCTGAAAGTTAGAAAGGGTGCCCGGGTTGTGTTAAAGGGACGGAGGAAGTCCCGATTATATGTGTTAGAAGGTTCGACGACCACTATAGATGCACTGTAACTTATGATTTAATAAGCAGTAACTCAGATAAAGTTAATTGTGGTCGGGTTGTTCATGGTTATTCGAACGATAATATTGGGAAATCTTCATGTAGCTTAGGTGTAACTAGTTGTAATCTTGCTAATCATGTTACTAGTGGCAATTCGAGCAGGTTGGCAACTCAGGTAAAGTTGGTGTTGCTCGTGAAAATAACGCAGGTTTGGTGATTTGGCTAGAGCAGTATTGAGAATTGGTAGCAATTTTGAAAATGTCTTGAAGGAGTCAGAGGTGAAACTCCTATTTAATTTCAAATTTTCCATTATTCATTTTACCTATTGTATTTGGATTTTACCTTATATTAAACTTTTCATGTATTAATTCTTCTAATATGTTATGAATTTTTTTATTATAAATATGTGGTGTCTAACACATATTGAAATTGACTAATTGTCCAATTAGTTATTGATCCAAAAAGATCATTTGTAACTCTTTACTATTGATTATAATGAATTTTCCGCATGACTTTCCCGAATTTGGATTTTTACATAAATCTTGTTTTCTTTTTTATTAATTATTTTCATATTATTCATATTATTCTCATGTTTAATTATTTGGTCGGATTTTCAACAATAATAAATTAAAGTGAAAATTACCTCCATGATTTTTAATTTCTCACTTTAAAAAGCAGATTTACAACTTATTTATTAACAAATCAGTTCATTATTCAACTTTTTAATATTGTAATATTATTAAATTAAATTATTCCGCCACCTCCACTCCACCCACCCCACAAGTTTTAATTCAGTTTCAAAAACTATCCATCGACGTTGTTGCTTTATTTCACTCCTAGCGCCTCTTCATCCAATCTGCTCCTTCCTACCCCTTTCAATAACTTTTGGCAGCGTAGCAGTGGCGCCATACATCCACATGTGATTTTTAACTTCTCACCTCAAAAATCAAATTTACAACTTATTTATTTAAAAATCAGGTTATAATTCAACTTTTTATAATAATAACAATAAAATTATTATTAAATTAAATTAATCTACCACCTTCACTCCAGCCATCCTACAAACCCTGATTCATTTTCAAAACACAATCCATCGTCGTTGATGCTTCATTTCACACACAAAGCCTCTTAAAGCGAACTTCTCCTTCGCATCTCTCCAACGACTCTTTACGACCCAGCAGCGATGCCCGTGTGCGCGACGATAATCAACAGTAGTGTCACTGCTCCTTGCGTTGGCACAATTTGTTTTCTTTGTCTTGGGCATCTGTGTTTCTCTGTTTACATTGGTACGATCTATTTTCTCTTCATCTGTTATGTGTGATTTCGATGGTTGTGGTGGGTAGAGATGGAAGAGATGATGGATTTGAGGAAGTGGCATTAGTGATTGTTGATACAGATAATGGTAGTGGTGAGGTGATATGGTGGTGGCGACAAGTTTATAGATTTTTTTGATGGGTGTGGTGTGGCAGAGGTAGATGAGATGGTAGATTTGAAGAGGTGGTGGTGCAATGGCGATAGTGGTTAGGGGTGTCCAAAAGTCCCGAATCAAATCGAACCGGACTGAACCCGAACCGAATCGAACAGTTCTTCATAAGTTAAATACCCGAACAGGTACCCGAATCGAGAACCAATGGGTTTAGGTCAGGTCTTGGGCATAGACCAAGAACCGAAGAATCGAAACTAAATAATTTTTTTTATTGAATTAATTAAATTATTTTATTGTTTTTCTAAACAAATTAGCAAATTAATTAAATAAATCAGATTATTTCATAATTTTAATTATAAAGCCCAAATCATTTTTAAAGCCCATTAGCCCAAATCATTCTTACCATGACAAGTCAAGAAATTGATGATTAAATCAAATAATTGGTAAGTATTACCAATACTTAAAAATATTTTATTTTTATAATTTTTAATTTATATTTCATTTTCTTTATGCAGGCAGACTATTTGAAACAAATGAATTTACTTTATGTAGTGTTGCTGTAATATTAATATATTTTTTTGTCTTTGTATGCATTGAATTAATTTTATTAGACGGCTAGTTATTTATATGTTTTTGAATTGGGTTACGTTAATTTGTAAACGTTACGAATGAAATGTCATTAGTTGTATTTATGTAGTGTTGCTGTAAATATTAAAAAAATTAATTATGGTATGGAACCGAACTTGAACGGTTCCATAATTATATTCGGACCCGACGGTTCTATTTATTAAATACCCAAAGTTTTGGATCGGTTCGGTTCTCTTCAAAACAGAACCGAATCGAACCGACTTACGAACATCTCTAATAATGGTGACGTTGAGTTGCTTGTTGTGTGGTGGCAATGCAAGTGTGGTTGGTGGAGGTGGAGCTAGATGTGGTGGTGGTAGATTTGAGGAGGTATGGGTGGTTTCGATAGTGGTAGAGTAGGGTAGTGATATGGTGGGAAAGATGAATTGTAATTTGTGATCCGTATATTAGGTAATTGCAACTATTTAATTTGATAATTTATGATCGATAAATAAGTTGTGACCTATAAAATTTATAATTTTTTTATCAAAAAATAAGTCGTGACTTATAAGATTAATGATTTGTGACTGATAAATAACTCTTGACTCATAAAATTTATGATTTGCGAGTTTGATATTTTGTGATTGTGACTAGTACGTAATTGTGACCATAAATTGTCTAATATTGTGACCTTAATATATTCAAATAGTAAAATATTTTTAATTATGTATTTAATTAATAAAAAATGAATTATGACATGATATTTTAAAATTTAAAACAAGTTCCTTAATTTAGAAAGTATATCTTGTACTACCTTAGATATGTATTGTTCCCTTAAAATATTCTCATTTTAGTCTGACTTATTTTTTATTTTTAATATAATTTTTTGTTTTCTAAATACGATTGCAGTTTAAAATATAAAATAAAACAAAAAAATAAGAGTAGAAATAAGTTTGCGATGGAGCATGTTCCTCATCCCAATTCCCCACATTAATACAAAAATATTAATTTAGTTATTGAAGTAAGTTTTCGAAATATTTTTGAAAATGTTAGTAATTTGTAATTTTTTTTCTTATTTTTATAAAATTGACGATTTTTTCATTTGTATAAAAAACTCTAAAAATACTTAGTGTTTGATGGATATTATTGAGGAAATAATGTATTTTAAATAGTGATATGATGAGAAATATGTGGTTAAAAAGTAAGAAAAAGTTATTAATATGATGTAAAATATTATTTTATTGAAAAATGTGTGATTGAAAATGAGTTATGAAATAATGTATTTTGAAAGAATGTGTATCAAAACATGGCAAAATTTTGTTCCTCCAACACATCAAACCATGCAACCTAGGTTATGTCACTATTTCTAATTGATGTAAACGAGTCAGTTTGAGCAGAGGTTAGCAACTCGGACATGACCCGAGCAAAATATTGCTTGTGTTTTCTTGGCTTGAGTCAAGTCGAGCCGAAGCTCTGTCGAAAAATCGAGACTTGGCTCGGGCCTTACCGAATCGAGCTAGCCTTTTTTTTTGTTTTTGGTGTCGCTACAAAAGCAGTAGCAGCTAGCAGCCGCCTGTCACGGCCGTCACCTGAAAATGAAGATTGATTCCATCAAGCCGCGAGTCGAGCAAGCTTCGGGCTGCTTGAGACAAGCTGGTCCGTATTCTAACCTATACAACCATTGTTTCATTTTCTGCTAGTTTCAACAAAGGGTAGAACAAAACGACGTCATTTCTTGATGAAATCTCGACCCTCAGTTCAGTTGTGCCCGTATCAGGCCAGATAATCCAATATCCTCTCTCCTCGTCCCCACCCAGCTTAGTTGAACTGAAAATGCATTGTTGAACTTCTACGATAGAATTATCTTTACGTGCTTCCAAAATGATGATGGCTTTAGCCTCCTTATCTTCGTGCAACACGAATTCAACTTTCTATTTATCAAAACCTTCCATTCCATGGCACCCAAATTCATACTATTGTTCTGGGCTGCAATTGAAAGGAAAAATTGTTCCTCCAACTGGGCATGAGCAGTCAATATTTGGTTGTAGGCTGAGAGTGTTGGCTGCCCCTGGAGAATCTTCGAAAAACACAAGCAACTCGAAAGGAGAGGAAGACGGTAATGATGACCCATCAGTCCCTTCGTGGGCGAAACCCGGTTCGGATGAAACTCCGCCTTGGGCACGCCAAGAGGCCAAGAAAGAGTCTTCTGGGTTTGAGGTTCCCTTCTATGTCTACTTGCTTGCATCAGCTATCACTGCCATTGCCGCGGTAAATACATATTTTGTAACGGCTATTTTCTTTTTTTTATAGTTTCAATTAGGTTGATGGCTTGAAACAGATTGAGTCTTGGTGTTTAAGGATTTACTATTATATAATCCCGAGAAAAGGATAGTAATTTTCAGGAAATTGCCCGGTCTCTAATTGCAATCCGTCCGAGTATAGTGGATGATTTTATAGAACAATTTAAGTCCAGTTCCTGTAAAATTCTTTTGCATTACCAATTGGATAGAATATCCACCGATGTAGTTGGTTTTGATTGTGTTGAACGCAGATTGGTTCGGCATTCGAGTACGTGAATCAAAAACCTGTTTTTGGAGTTCTGAACTCAGACAGTATATTTTATGCTCCATTGCTTGGGTTCTTTGCATTCACCGGCATCCCCTCTTCTGTAAGTTGTTGTTGGGCTTTTTTTTTGAATCATTTTGTCATTTTCCGTACTTCTCTATTGGTTTATTAATTTTAACTAGATGAATCAAGGCAATGCAATTTTAGTATTGGATATCAATCAGTAACTAGAGTTCCCACTTGCAACTCAAGGGATTATAAGCTTTTCCCTTTTCTCAAATCATCTGAAGTGTAAGTTCTACAAAATAATTTATGGTACCAAGATATATCCATTATGTTATTTTCTGGTCTATTAGTTTCCTGAAGATTTTGAAACTGAGAGATTCATTTCATTGTAGCCACAGAAAGAAAAGGACAAGGAATCCAATGATTCTTTAATGGCTGTCAAGGCTATCCTAAAAACTTGAATTACTTTGTGCTATCCCATCTCAGGTTGTAAAGTTCCAGGTGAATAGAAACAAAAGGGGAAGGGAAAAAATATACGAGAATTTCAGTACTCTCATAGGTGCTTGTGCCATTTGCAAAGAGGTTTGGAGAATAATCTTGAGAGCATCCTCTTCCACTGAGTATCTAATTTCTCTAATGAAAATATGCATATAATCCATTAACCCTAAACTAAAAGGACACGTTATATTAAAGGTAAAAATGGATTTTAGAACTTGTTCAATAGGACATTTGTTTTTTTAAAAATATTCCAATGAGGACAGTTTTATAAGGGGTTTAATATTTCTGAAAATCTTTTTGGGAGAAATAAACTTCCTGTTAACCTTTGAATAAAGAGATAGGTTTAATGTTAGTGGAGGAAGAAGAATATTCAAAAATAGAAGCAAAGGATTTACTACAAGCCCTTGTAGATGAAGATGATGTTGAAGGTTGGGGCAGAGAAGGAAGGGAGGAGGTGGCAGTTCGTTGAAGAAAGGTAAGTCGCACAAAGCAAAACTGGAAATGGAAAATGGGGGGAAAGGGGATAATGCCAATTGAGAGAAAAGTAGAATTCTGTTTTATTTCACAATCTGAATGCTTCAATTACGGAGTGCGTTAGCTGACTTTATAGACAATTAGTGACAGCTTACTAACAACCATTAACAACTAACAACAGACTTCTAACTAACTTAAACTCTTCCCGCCCTTTTACTAGCTTTCAAATAATCTGGAGTTAATCTTCCATGTGACAGAAAGTCAGCTGTCACTAGGTTAAAGGAGGGAGGTGTGTCGTCCCATTGGTGATTCCCACTGGTGATTGAGTTTAGGGTTGAGTTGGCATGATGGAGGCGAGCAAGTTACCTCTGGCAGTTAGTGGAGAGTTGATGATTTGGAGTGCTGGAGAGTGGGTTTGGTGACTTGGTAGTGTTCTACTTTCTCCATGGGGTGGGGAAAACGTTGGAGAAGAAAAAAGTTATTTTACAAATTTAAAATGGAGTTAACCAAGTCTTTTGCAATGAAGAAGGATAAACAGTGCAAATCCACAATATGAACATACCTCGTGACATGAAAAAATTTTAAATTCCAGTTATCTAAATTGAAAAGATTCTTGAAAGATTCAACACGAGTAAGGCCAAAGAATTTCTACTTCGATTGCACATTATTTCAAGTTCCGAAATCCTGTTGGCGTGAGCTGTACAATTAGAGTTGATTGTGGCTGTAATCTTCTAATTAGAATTGTAATTTTTCTAATTATAGTCTGTAATATAATTAGCTGGAGTAGCCAAATCTAGACCTTAACTGGCTACTAAATGTATTCCTCCATCTCTGTATAATGACAACTTACAAAACCTATATTCTAGAATCTGTCATGGTATTAGAGCAGACAATTCCCTGCCCTTTGATATCTGTAGCCTCCTAAACCAAAGTCCTTCCACCCCACTACTTCCATGGCGGACACTAGTTCCAATTCTAGTGATTCTCCACCACCTACTATCTTGAGAGAACTAACCACGAAGATGACTGAAGCTTTGAATAAAGTCTCAACCTCGACACTGCCAGCAGACATGGGCGCTGCACCTATTGGCATCAAATTGGATGGATCCAATTATGCCTATGGTCCCAAGTGGTTGAGATGTATATTGCAACCAAGGATAAATTGGGATATATTAACGGTGACCTTCCTCAGCCGTCTCAGAAGGATTCCAGATTCAGGCGATGGCGAACTAATAATGCGATGGTGACCTTCCTCGGCCGTCATTTCGCAGCTTTTAATTTAGAACGTTAATGAAAATGACCTTTTGCGCAATGAAAGGTTGAAATTAGAGTGAAAATGTCTAAAAATGAAAGGTAACGACGTTTCCACAATAATAGTGAAAAGTAAGGACGTTATGTGCTAATTACCCTTCTCATAATCCTATCCAACATGATCGAACTAAATATGTGGAGGTAGATCAACATTTTATCAAAGAGAACCTTGAAGCCAAGATAATCCGATTCCTGTTAAGATCAATTGGCAGATATTCTTGCCAAAGCCGTGTATACAAGAACTTTCACAACTCACTTGACAAGTTGGACATTAGAGAACTATATGCACCAACTTGAGGGGGAGTGTTGACGTGAGCTTTACAATTAGAGTTAATTGTGGCTGTAATCTTCTAATTAGAGTTGTAATTTTTCTAATTATAGTCTGTAATATAATTAGCTGGAAGTAGCCAAATTTAGACCTTACCTGCCTACTATATGTATTCCTCCATCTCTTTATAATGATATGTACAAAAATTACAGAACATATATTCTACAATCTGTCAAGTCCTACATGTGTGAAATGTTGGGCAATAATAAAATGAATAAGTAGATATTTGAGAAACATTTTAGGCTGTGGTCGTATTTTGCAATGGGAACCTGTATTGGACGGGTACAAAGATGTAGACATGACTGACAATATTGATTTGTGGAAGTCCATAAACCTCATTTATTTTATATCTAATTCGGGATTAATGGTGATTTGTGCAGTGGGAGTAGTTTCACACTGTGGAACTGTGTTTCTTTAATCAATCATAGAAGCTGAATACATTGTAATAACCATAAATTACAAGGAAAGTAGGAAACTGTGGATTAGAAAGTTTCTTGCAGTATTGTCTTGCAACAACAAAAATATATCTAATGTGATAACCAAGGCTATCCACTTGTACAAAAATTCTTAATTCCATTCTAGATCCAAGCAATTGATGACAAACATTAAATTTGCATTGTACCTGAAATCAAACAACTAAAATTAGATAAGTTTACGCCATGAGGAAAAATCAGATGTGTTGACAAAGTCTTTGCATATGGAGAAGCTACTTTGAGTTCCATGCATTAGTTGAAGCGAGATTTATTCTGGTATCTATTTTCAAATGGTAAAGTACCACGAGAAGTAAAAAATAAAATGGAGAAGGAAACAAGCTCTCCATATGATGAACCTAGTAATAGAAATTAGAAGAAAACAAACAAAAAGAGAAGTGCAAGCCACAAAATAAATGATGGAGAAGTAATAGGAGAGACCAAATCCTTTTCCTATTTTGTTTTGACAAATTTTTCAAAATAGCCTTTTTAAAAAGTTGCAATGTACATAAGTGAAAAATAGATTTACTAATTTTAGTTTAAAAGGCATTATTTTTTTTATGTAAAATGTCATAGATATCCTTAATGTTAAACACCTTTCTATAAACTGGTCAAGTAGACCTCAACTGGTCATAATCAACCCCAATTTTATTTTCCCGAAATCTTGCTAAACCAATATGTGAATGAAATCAGGACTGGGGATGAGGGGGGAATGGAGTGTGGGAGGCTGAAAAGCGGCGGAAGGGTCTGGGTGCAGAAACCAAGGGGTGGGGGAGGAGGAGTTGAGGGACAGCAATGGTTGGAGGGTAGGGGTGAGAAAGAACATGACATACAAAGGTATTTTGGCATATAAGAAGTACAACATAGGTCTAAGAACTTTGTAATTGTGAAGCATTTTTCCATAATATTCCTTCACTTAGGGTTTTGAAGTAAATTCCTCTTTTGATTTTCTCAGATCACCCCTTTTAAGTGTAGAGCTAATATTTTTATGAGCCCCTGTTCTAGTTAAATTTGTTTTCGTAACCCTGGTATTAGCATAGTGGAGATTTTCTTGGAACTTGTATTGTCGACCCCGTAAATTTTCTCTCCTTGGCTTGCTACATTATTTCTTCTATTTGCCCATCTTTGTTCATGCAAAGGGTGAAACATAGGTGTTTTATTTAATTGGTACGGTCTAGATCTTATTATTCTGTAATACATTTTCAAAGCTGACATAAAATGATAATTATGAGACTATAGACTTGCTAAATCAAATGCTTTGTCTAACTAACGTGTTTAATCCCAGGCATTCCTTTGGTTCAAATCAGTTCAAGTTGCAAATAAGGAGGCAGAAGAGCAAGACCGAAGGGATGGTTACCTGTAGAGTATTATCTTCATTGTGGTGTTTTCTTTGTACTTTTATTGTTATTCCTAAGGATAAATTCCATGGTTTCCTAACTATACATGTAGACCTGATTGTTTCTTCTCTGCATTTATTTTTAATGTGTAAGCAAGGGATATAGATGCTGCAATGTAAATGAAAATCATCCTTCCATATAATGCATCAATTTTGTAATTGATCAATTAAAAGTATCAAGTTTAAGAAGTGGTTACACCGTAGTTGCTTTTTACATGTGCTAATCTTTTGCTGTAGAAAGTTGCAATTTGAGTATTTAGGCAATAATCTAGTGTAGTGCTATGATAAGTTGTATTCTATGCGGTAACAAAGTGAGTTTTTAAAGAGGTGGAATGCTGCATTTGGGTTCTGATCTGAGGAAGACATGTTAAGCTTTTGATCATAATGTAATGGAACTATAGTAATTTCTTTGGTAAAGTGGACTGGATTCTACGTTGGATGTTGATTAGACACTTCATGTTCTAGTTATTTATATCAAACATGCCGGGTAGTCCGATATCGATATGATGTAAGAAAGAAACCATCTTTGAGGAAATTCTTAAAAGATGTGAAATAATGTGATGGCACTAAAAGATGTTGGATCGGTCTTGGAAAATTCTCGAGGCTGACACTTGAAATGTATTGCCGTGCTAGCCTTGAAATGAGCCACGATTGGTTTTCAAAATAGAATATAAGCTATTCATAGGGCGAGCTTTGTAATTTCCCAGTCCACTTAGTATAATATTGTCGATTTGTTCTTGGACTTTCACCCAAAATGCCTCACATTAATTGGGAGTCGTCATTTTCATTGCTACAATTACACCACCTTATGGGTCCAACGTCCTCGTTGGCCACACTTTCGAGTGGGCTTAGACTTTGATATCATTTGTGACATTTCAGTCATATTGTTATGATATTATTCAATTTGAACCCAATCTTAGGGGACCCGATGTTGCGTGATTTCTATTATTGTTAACAAGTAATAAATAAAATAAATATTGGTTAAACTATATTCTATTTGAATAAAAACAATTAAGATCGATTTTAATGATTATCCTAAATATTTAAATCATAGAAAATAATTAAAAAGTGTGCAATAAACAATTTGGGATTTTAAATTATGTAAGAAAAAGTGTTTTGACTCTCGATTTCACA